TGTCACTGTCATACCGACTTTCTAAGTATTGTAAGCGATATAAAAATTATTGTTGAATTTAAAGTATTATGGCACAATTAACTGTCACACAAAGAATTGAAATTTTAATTCTTATCGGATGCGGGGATAAGACTAGAACGCAGCAGGAAGTTTGTGATTTATTTAATGAAAAACATCCAGATCGCCGTATCAGCCAATCAACAGTCAGTAAGATAGAATCTAAATTTAGAGAAACTGGCAATTGTAGATATTCCAAAACCTGTACGTCCAAGCGTTAGTGAAGATCACAAACAAAACATTTTGATAAGTATGGTAGGTAATCCTCATAATACTTCACGATTGGTTGCATTAAACAATGAAATTAGTCAGACCACAGTGCTACTTATCCTGAGGAAGGAAAAATATCATCCCTACAAAATTCAGCTTGTGCAGGAACTCAATGAAGACGATCCCGACCGCCGCTTACACTTGTGAAATTATAATGGATTTATGTCAAGTAAGTAAATAGAGATTTACACCGGCAAATACGAGACGAGGCCACGTTTTGTCTCAATGGTATAGCGAACCGTCAAACTTACAGGTATTGGAGTCGGGAAAATCCTCATTGGATGACAGAGACGCATACCCAACACCCACAGAAATTAAATGTGTGGGCTGGAATAGTTGACAACAGAATAGTAGGGCCTTTACTATACTTAAAGACTAAAATTTATGAAGCATTTTTTTCACAGTGTTGTTTTTTCTATGGTAAATAACTACCGAATAAAAGCCTATAGTCCCGGCTGCCGAAATAATCAATCACGGCGGACCGCCGGCAAACAAGTTGACTTTTATTCAAAATGGCCGCCGAGATGACGTGATTTTCAATAAACTGTATCGCGTTTCGGGTCATCATTCAAAGGGGAAGACGCGCCCTCGATTAAAATCCAATCAGTCATCACTTTTCACAATTTAATAGCGCGGCTATCGCAAATATTTGTCCGACGCGCTGGCAATTTATCAGATTTTCCAATAAAAACGACGGGAACGCGGCGCGGCTCCTCAGACAATTAAGTTGTCGCTGATAATTGCTTCTCAACTTAATTACAGGATGTCGTCGCTGCTCTTCAAATAATTTCAGATTATATTGGGAGCGAAGTTTCATATTTTTTTTAGTGTTAAGTATAGCAAGTGTGTCCAACGAGAACCAGACTTTGCAATTTATTTGATTCGTTTGATTAAAGGACTATAATGGCAATCGACAACCCGACAAATTGTCTGAAAATGAAATATTTTATAGTTTCTGATGTCTTGATCAACAGTTGTCACTGTCCCAAGACTCAAAAATTAATATTAATCGAGATAAGTGACATTGAAAGTGAGCAGGACCCATCGCGTTTTTAATAGTTTTCTTTAAATAACAGCGGGATGAAACTTTCGGAAACTATAATTCAATATAAATACAATAATGAAGCTAAAGCCGAAAATCAGGAGAGCAAAACTTTTTGTTCTATAAGGTTTTATACATCCATCGGCATCTGAAACTCGAAACTTTGCCAAATTTGTTTGAAGTTTTGCTGACACTTGAAATTTGGTATACAAATAGTGGAAATACGCAGAAACCAAAAACAATTTGCAAAATTCAATTATCTTCATTTTTGCAGCTTTGGTAAGGTTTTATACGTCACCCTTGTTTTATACGTCACCGTTTTTTTTAATTTTAGGAAAAATATATATGTATATTTATAAAATATTCCATCACGGTAGATTAACCGATTAATCAGCACAATTACCTACAATTAAAAAATAATAATAATTTTCATCGTTTAGATCCTAAGCTACTTAACATTTTGCGCCTGTTAGCCATACTCGTACATTATTGATCATATCAACATAAAACAAATTCATACGTGTGGGGTAAACTTTTAACTTTTCATTTTCGAGCGCGAGCTCCGCTCTTCGGCGCTTGTATACTATTAGAAATAAGCAACAGCAAATTTAAAAAATTGTTTACTTAAAGTTAAAGGTTACCCCACACGTACTTTTATGTTTTATGTTGATATGTTGAATAATGTACTAGTATGGCTAACAGGTGCAAAATGTTAAGTAGCTTAGGATCTAAACGATGAAAATTAATTGTTTTTTTTTTTAATTATAGGTAATTGTGCTGGTTAATCTACCGTGATGAAATATTTTATAAATATACATATTTTTCCAAAAATTTAAAAAAACGGTGCGTATAAAACTAGGGTGAGGTATAAAACCTTATCAAAGCTGCAAAAATGAAGATAATTGAATTTTGCAAATTGCTTTTGGTTCCTGCATATTTACACTATGTGTATACCAAATTTTAAGTGTCAGCAAAACCTCGAACAAATTTGGTTTCGAGTTTCAGATGCCGATGAATGTGTAACACCTTATAGAACAAAAAGTTTTGCTCTCCTGATTTTCGGCTTTAGCGTCATTATTGTATTTATTTATTGAACTATAGTTTTCGAAAGTTTTATCACTTTTTGTTTATAATTGACATTTTTACAGCTACTTTAAAAAAATTATGTTTTATACCGGTTTTTTCAATCTCACGGCTTTGTTATTACAAATTTCGTAATCGGGCCTCGCCATTTTGTAGCTATTTTTATTACGAACAAAATCATATCCTAAGCATTTTTTTGTACAAAGTCATCCCGCTGAGTTATTTAAAGAAAACTACTAAAAAAAAAATTTTCACTATTAAATTGTTAATAACTTTTTTTCCTGATAAATAAAATACTTTGTCAGCAAATTAGCCCGTTATTGTACTCATTATTTAAAGTAGGCCTGTGTAGTTATTTCCGGGTTATCAAGGTTTGACACAGGCCGAACCTCTACCAACTGGACTATTATACATAGTCCTTCTCTCTCTATCTCTTTCCCCCTGAGAGAAACAAGGCGAGTTCGTATGTAACACCTCCATTTCGAGACAAAGAGACGATTTTTGAAGGAATAAAAAAGCAGGCGTAAAGAAAAAAGCGGGTGCAAAGTTAGAAAGCGGGCGTAAAATAAGAAAAACGAACATGAAGAAAAAAAGTTGTCAATAAGCAAAAAAAAATCAAGAATAATGAAAGAAAAACGGCAAGTACAAAGGAAAAAAAGCGGACGTAAAGTTAAAAAAGAGCAAGCGTAATATACAAGCGGATGTATAATAAAGGAGCAGGACTAAATAAAAATGGCAGACGTAATGAAAAAATAAGCGAGCAAAAAAAAACGAGAGTGAAAAGTAAAACAAATGGATTTAAACTAAAAGAGCAGATGTAAAATAAAAGAGCGGGTGCAAAGTAAAAAAGTGTACAAAAAATACAATGGAAGCGTACAGAAGAAAAAGCGGGCATAAAATAAAAACGACTCATATGGAGTAGAAAAAAGCACCCGCATAATAAAAATCGGGCGTAAAAAAAGTGGGACAAAATAGTAGGTGTAATGTATAAGAGGGCAAGAAAATATAGACGAATAGTAAAAAAAGACGTAAACTAAATGAGCGGGTGCAAAGATTCATAATTACTAAAATTCGAGCTAAAATTTAAGAACAACACTATCTTCCTACTACAAAACCAATACGTTTTATTTTACTTATTTAAAAACTGGAAACAATTGTCTTGAAATTTACTAAATGTTTCACAATAATAGTTGTTTACATTTTTTCCGTAGGACAAGTCTGCCCGGTGCACACGTAGTATGCATCAGCTGTGTGGCGTTAGGTTAAGTGCTGTTGTCACGTTGTGATGTACCTCCCCAATATTAATACTCGCTGTATTTTGAAAACTGTTAATCTTACGCCCCTGTAATATACTATTTTTTGTTCATTTATGACTACTCTATCTCACGCTGAAGTAATAGCTGTCAAACTTCTTACACCCTGTATAAACTTGTTTTCCAAAGCTCATAAGACTTCAAATAAAGGATTTTATGATCAGCAAACTGGCCTTGTTCCTCTCAGAGAGAAAGAGGGGAGGACTCCGGAGACACACTCCATATCGTTTTGAACGCTGATGAGGACAGTGGTGTAAAAAAATAAAAAAATTAGTAAAACCTAAACATCAGAAAAGAAAACTGGAAGGATACGTTCTGGTTTTTACCGATTGTGAGTACGACTGTATCTCTATCTACATTATAGAAAAATAACACATTGAATTTGAATTTCCCTTTGTAAAAACAAACGCGTCAAATGGGCCGCAATAAAACCTAATCTAGTAATTTTTGCCCTAAACCGTTTTTAATCTATTAACTGCCGCTGCTGAGTGCATTCGACAATTAAAATATAAATTTAAACCAGAATTCATGTTCCGGTTTTATTAACAGCGTATTTTAAAGCGGATTACCTAGAAGTAAATACCAAAATAATCGCCGTGCGCGGATTTGTAAATAATAGAGGTCGTACAAAACTCATACGTTTTGAATTTTTAACATGATTTTTAAAAACTACATAGTTTCACGTAATTTTCTATGGAGAGGCACCTAATTCAGAAACAAAAGAATGAAAATGTAGTTATTTTAAGTAAAAAAAGAGTAAAATCAACACGACCTACCTGTGTGTACGTCATCCAACAGCAGGGTTCCACCTGGTTGGCGTCGAGGCCCCAAAATTCCAGCTCTTCTTCGAAGAGGGGACCGCAGACGTCTGAGGGATAATGTAGCTTGCCAGTTCTGCAAAAAAAATTAACAAAATCATCTATTTTGAAATACCTATAAATACCTATATGAACAGAAAACTTGTTAAAAATTATAAAAACAACAAAATAAACTTATGTGAAAAAAACAGTACCTACTTTTTATTTATTTTTAGAAACAGAGTTAGTTTTTTTGAACGAAAATATATATATTTTTTTCACCAATCGACATTACAGGCGTAGTTTTAGTGACAGCTGTCAGGCACTAAAGTGCCACATTCCTGCCTAGACATTATAGTAGGGAGCCCAAAAGGGGATTTTGGGAGTTACTCAAGCGCGGCAGATTAACATATGGACGATACCTTGCACCCTGTTGAGTACCGAAGTAACAAAAATCGTTAATAAAGTTTAGCGTGTGCAGCTGCAGGGAAATACATGTTGTGTGAAACTCCGTCTGGAAACTCCGGAAAAAGATAAAAAACTAAAAATTTCGTTTTTTATTAAGTTCTGTATAGGATTTATATGTTGTTTAACTTATGTATTATGACAGCAGAAATGGTTCTACAGTTCAGAGTATAATTTGTGCGAATGTATGTAGACATGTTGTATAATTTTATGTCCTGTGTGATTTTTGTTAAAATTGTTTTAATTGTTTTAGGATTTATATATTGTACCTTTTTTTATAATAATATCAACTGGTTTACAGTTCAAATTTAAACCGAAAATTGACACCACATTTGTACGAATGTATGTAAACAGTGGTCAAATAAATATCTATCTATCTATCCATCTATTAATCTCGGCCATATTTTTTTATCTCTTATTTCTTTATCATTTGTAATTTTATCAGAGAAAGAGATTACCGAAAGTATATATTACCTATATGTGTTTATATGTATTATAATTAAAAGAAATAGATTTACGTGTGCAGAAAATAAAATAAAAAACTTTTTTTACAAATTTCAACAAAATTTGTTATTTGTTTTTATTTGCATGTTATTTTCCGTGCTTTTTATTTGTCACATTCAGTGATTTAAAAAAATATAATGAAACAAATTTTTTTTTTACAAACCGTCAGATTAAGAAAACCCCTCCAAATAATCGTCAGATTATGGATCAGCACGACCAGGCATCAAGCTGAACCATCTATATGAAAATCTGATGTGTTCGAGTATTTCAAAATGGCGATTTTTTTTTGGATTTTCAAAAAGCTGCCACGAGTTTGCGTCACATCCGAATCGTCAGTCTTTTGAATGGGAGCTTCGTTCGGGTTCACTTAACATCCCCTCTGAATATCTGAAGCGCTAGAGTAATTTTTTTTCCCCATTTTTAACCTTTCCGTACGGCCGCCCCCACCATCAAAATTGGCAGATTAACATATCTCCATTATCGGAGACACGTAGAGCATATACACTATCAATATCTGACGTGCCCGAGTATTTCTTTGTGACTGTTCTTTTTTTACATGTTTGAAAGCCTGTAGACGCTTCCTCCACCTTGTGACAGGGTATACATCATATAACCTTTTTTTCTTTCTACCATCTAATCTTCAAAATCCAATAGGTCCCCACGACGCTCGAGTATATCCCTGTTTAGCATCGTGAGCTCCCCTACTATTAGAATTATTTTTACTGTCGCTAAATCAAAAATTAAAATTTGTTTTTAACGAAAGTAATTTTATTTATTGTAATCATTTATACTGAAATTAGAACAGCCTGTAAGGTATATCCCTTGTCCTGTTTACTTCGTCTCCAAAGTGGTTGAATTATTTCAAAAATCGCTTCCCATACTTGAAAGTATTTTATTGAAAACTAAGTTGTATAGAAAGAAAGTGTGTGGAGTCGGTCGTAGGTATATGAGTAAGCATCTGGTCGCCGGCGCCAGTCCGCCGTAGTCCCTTCCTGGAACGCTGATGCGTCCGGCGGCGTCCTGCTGGCGCTCTTGACGTAATGCTTAAAACTGGGTCACTTGCGAACATGTGTACCCACAAAAAAAAGATTTGAAAAATTCCAAGTTTTAAAGAAAAGCCAAAGAAAATTGTATGTTAAAGTGTGTATAAAATTTTTATTAAAATCTTAGCTAAGATTTTAATAAAAAATTTATACACACTTTAACATACAAATTTCTTTGACTTTTCTTTAAATCACCGAAGTGTGTATTCAAGATACAGTCGTTATTATTTAAAATTCCAAGTTGACTAAAAGATATATTTTGGTTTATTTTTTTTACAAATGTCACATACTACGTAGTAGCGAAATAACTGCAAACGCTCTGCCTGACTCACGATTCCAGATTCATCTGGATAAAATACTGTTTTTTTATTATTTCAACTTGCCTAAAATACATTCCCTAAATTCGTCGTCAGCTTTCCGACTAATTGGCAGTAAACTAGATTTAATGCCTTGGTAATATATAATACTTGATTTGTCTTTACAATTATCTAAATGTATACAGGGTATTCCATTAAACCCCTACAACTTTTCTTCTCATACTTTCTTCCGTATCTGGAAAAATAACGAAACTAAAGATGGGAATTTTCCCGTGACCACCCTGTACATATATAAATAAATAACAAAACTCATAAAACACGACAAGAAATTATGCGCCTACTAAATATCCAGCAAGTATTCCCTTTGTGCGAATCCGGAGTTGCTTACCCCCCTCCCCACACTCTAAAACCTTTCGACTAAATTTCATTTTGTCGTCCCCGTAACGAAACGGCAGGTTGATTATTCGTTTGTTTCCAGCGTTAATTTGATTGTCGACGTACTTCCGCGGGACGGGCCTTACGAGTATCCCGGCAGTTTCTGTGCAAAATCGGTTGGAAAATATTGCAGACAACCGCATAAAAACGCTTTTACTCGCTGGGAAAGTCAATATAGGAGTTACCTATCACCGCCAGACTGTCCATGTTTAGGAAGCAAACTGAGACGTTTCTACGGGATTTCCAATGCAGACAGACTAGAGACATTCTTAGGGAGTCGTCGCTATGGGGGCGTGTTCCTAAAATGGTATAATAAACACGGTGTTTTTGAAAAAAGTGCGTTCTTTGAAAAGGGTGACAGAGGGCACAAGAATGAGCAACTGATGGTCTGAATGCTTCTGTTTTCAAGAAAATTAATTATCCATAAATGTAAGCCGACCCTGTGCATCTTGTGCACGCGCGTAGCAGTAATAATTTAAAATGTATTGATAATAAATGGGCTTTATATAATTAGACCAAGCAAATTAAATTTTTACTCGAAAAAAGTCCTATCCGCTAACTTTTCTATTTAAACAAATAAGTGAGGAAAACAGTTTTTTCACTTTGCAGGGAAAACCATCAATTTTAGCGAAAAGTGACTCACAGACAGCTTATAGCGAGTAAAATTATCTACAAAATGAGACTGGTTTTTCATTTGTCTATAACGCATTTATTGTTAAAATTTTATAAAACCTATGACAAGTTGAGGGTTTTGTCATACTTTAAAAGTGTGCCAAAAGTGGGCGCTGTAGGTGCAATACTTTTCGCACAATTCTATTTGTTTATAGCGGAGGCTCCAAAAGTTATGAACTTTATGCCTCTGTACAGGCGTTAATTTTCAACCAAACATGATTCTGAAAGCGTCTTTGTAATCTTAAAGACGTAATTAAGCAACCTATTAAAAAATATCACCGTTTTTTTAACATTTTCAAATTGTGCATTAAAAAACCTTGCATTTTTCGCTTATAAACTATTTGAATAACATTGTGGCTATTTATGCTATCTCACCGAAAATAGATGCAATGGATAGCTGGCAAAAAAATACAGTTTAAAATAAAAAAAGTACCCTCTACGACCAACAGGAGCCAAGATAAGAATTTTTTTTAATCGTAGCGCAATTGTTTATAAATATTAAGACTTGAATTNATTTTTCAATTATTTTTTCGATTCAACGCACCGTTTCCGAGTTATAAACACTTTTTTATCCTATGACGTCACACACCGTTGGTCCGATTATTTTTTTTTTGACATGCGGGTTTTGACGTTTTTCACTCGTTCACCATGGGAGATTTATTTGTTCACCATGGGAGATTTTTTGATACTTAAGAGTCTAAGCAAATACTGTTTTTTTTCTTTCATATATTGCGACACCCCGCTCTGCGTCACCCACCGAGTGCTCTACTCAAAACCAAGGGGAAATTTGTTTATATTTCCAGCCATTTCCGAGTTACGAACAAAAACCATTTTTTTTTTTATACTGTATTACATCGTAGATCGATAACGAAGACTTAACAAGGCCACGCGCTCTACCCCACGTTCCCTCCCTAGATGTCCTGAAATTGCTGGGGAGACTCCTGAAGGAAGCACAGAGAGAGAGAGAGAGATAAGCTCTCTATGAGGACAAAGTCACTCTATCTATCGCACACTATAACTCTATCTCTCTCGCGCACAATCAGACAAAAACGACAGAAACGAACCTTCTTTTAAAAATACATGGGATTTATCATTATTAGAATAACCCATTTTAATTTAAAAAATTAAAAAAATTACAATGGGTTATTCTGATGACGAAAAATAAAACATAATTAACTGTATTATTCAAATAACAATAATGTGCAAAAGTTCTTCAGGAATATTGGCAAATTTATTTTGGAGGAAGAATCCCGTCAACGAACACTAAAAAATATTATTAGAAACCTTAGGTGGCCAGAAAACAGCCCCGATCTCATTGTCAGTCCTTTAGACATATTTTTTTTACCTGAAAATTTGCAAGTATTGAAAAAAAATACAGGACGAAATGCTTGATAATTTTGAATTTGTTTTTGAAGCAATTAATAGTAAATTGAAACATATTTTCAACTGTATCATCACAATCACTTGCATGTTGATTTGTAAAAATTGTAGGTATATTAATGTTATTTCGTTTTTAGTTATTCTCCTTATGTTGTTGTAAAGGTTAGTTATAAAAAGCGTTGTTTGTTATTTTCATAAGGATGAATTTTAATTTATTTTTTATGATTTTTTTTATTTTAAACATATATATTTTATGCCAGTAAATTTTGATGTCAAATGAA